GAGGAGGCCTGCTTCACCTAGCAAGTCGCTATACACATGCTCCTTCATCAAGATTCAGCAGCATGTGACAAAGGAGTACTGACCTTCTCCCCAATAAGCAGCAGGCCCTCCTTGCCCTGGTCCTACCAGCATCACCCCTTGGGGAGTCAGAGCCTGGCAGGTTCTCCAGTATCACCAGCCAGACTCAGAGTATAGGCAAGGACCACAGCATACTCAGGTGTGGCTGTGGGGTCTCCCTTCTGCGCCTCCACAGAAACACTGTGGGCACGAGGGCATACATTAACTCTGTTCTACAGCTGAAAAAACTGGGGCACAAAGCAGTCAGGTGACCTGCCAAGATCACACAACTAGTGATTGGCGGCATTCACATTACACATACGATCAACTCCTAGCCCTTAAAATGTTAATATAAAGATCTTTAAAAATATCGTTCTCTTTCCAAAACGAAAATTCCAGGCTTACTGTCCCACTTCTTCAGGAGAAGAAGACAGAGGTGGGGAAGGGGAGCCTATAAAGGGCCTTCACATCTTGCAACAAGAATTTGTGCCTGGATTTCCAGAATGGCTGGACATTCATGGGGGTGGGAGGGGGGAGCTTCTAGTCTCTTCTATGTCAGACTTAATGAAAACAATCACATGGTAGGACACAAAGTTTGCTACTTACATTCACTTCAGTTATAGCAATATCAACGACGCTACCAACAACAATTAAGGCATCAAAAGTGTTCCATGCATCAGTGAAATAGTGCTGTTAGGGCAAGCATTCAGAAGCCACAGAGGAGAAGAAGCACAACAGGAAAAAAGAGAAAAGGACAGTGTTATCGAAGGGGAACATCTCAGCGTTATGCTACTCAGCTACTTGAAAAACTGCCCTAAGACAAACATGTCATAGATATATCCCTTTGGGTATCACTTCTGACACAGCAAATAAAAACAATTAGAGACACCCTAGCTTACCTTGCCTACCAGTGCCTGGGGTCAGTGCGGCCAGAAAGTCAGCCCTGCAAAGGTGGTTTGTGTCTGCAAAGGCCTTTTGGGTGAAGGCTCTACTCTACAGGGGTCTTTCCCATAGCTTTCCTTTAGGAAATGCTCAGTTTCAAATCGAGTACAATTGGGATCTGTGACTTGTCCAGGTGATGCCACTGCAGGGCAGGGAGCAGAGTGTGCAGACAGAAGAGAGAGGAGGGTGCAGGCCACACCAGGCGCATACTCACGTCAGCTTCGCTGAGGGCCACGTCTATAATGCTGCCGATTACGATGAGGGAGTCAAACGTGTTCCAGGCGTCACTAAAATACCCCTGGACAGAGCAGGCAGGGGCAGACGTTCATGAGCACGCATGAATGAAACATCACACGGATCATATGAGGACATAATCTGAGTCCCCACAGCACCCATGGCAACCAGGTTGGGTGGTAAAGCCAAAGAAGGGGGGGGGCAACAATACTGTCCACTGGTGGAAAGGGCACAGAGGGGGCTTGTGTACCTCTGCGTGTGAGAGGGGATGTGTGTGAAAGAGGGTGGGTGTACACTCATGCACACACACATGCGCACGCACACACACACACACAGAGCACAGACCCGTGGCCCTGAGCAGACAGAGGGCAACCCTACCCTACCACCCTGTGTGCCGATCTCACACCCTCATCAGCTGACAGAAGGGTAAGGCTCTCCCACTCTTTTGAGGCTCTTTAATCACCCACTTGCTTCTCTTCTCTCACTTACAGAGCACTGTCAACAGTCATCTCATTCCTTTTCCGGGCCCCTTCAAATAAACCAGCAGCCCTCCCCCAACTGTAGTGTTCCAGAAAGTATGACCACGAGGGTGATCAAGAACAGTCCCTGGCTTCAAAGAAATTTTGGTCTAATGGGGATACAACTAGGTCAGGGCTGAGGGAGAGACAGGCAGAGATGTGTGCACAGCCCTGAGGCATGGCTCTGTGGCAGAGAGGTCTTGGTTGTGGGGCGGGAGAATCAGCACAGGGAAGCCAAGGTGGGCTCTGAGGAGAAGACTACCATCAAAGGCCCCACCAGAAGCCTCACGTTGTCAGCAGGCTCCACCCTCTGTCTCAGCTCTTGCTCTCCCACTCTCTCTTCACCTTCCAGGTTAAGAGGACTCCTCTTTGTCCCTCAAAAACAGGAGCAGGTTTTTCCCCACCTCCAGATGCCTCTGCAATCCAAAACTCCTCAACCCAACTTGATCATAAGTTTACTTCTTCCTTCAGGGTCAGATAAATATTAGCCCTTCACAGAAAAATTTCAGCCCCTCCGGACTGCCCATAACTCACCATATTGTCTGTGTGTCTGTCTCTCTCTTTCTCTCTCTTGTTGAACACTGCACATCTACCACAATGAAAGCCTTTCAAGGGTGAGGACTATTCTGTCCCACCTCCACCAGCTCCATCCAGCCCAGTGCCTTGAATCTACTTGATATATGAATGTGTCCCTTTCTCTATTAATCTGCACCTTACTGGTCTTTCCCAGTTATTGTTTTTCCAGGTCCTTATAGCTTGAGCCAGCTCTAAGGTACATACTTAAACACGAGGCTTACCAATCCATGTATATGTGCCATACGTGAAAAAATTTTACATCTTTTTCTGGGACCAGGACAGTAGGTGCTAAACCACTGCCACTGTCTCCTGACACCCCTGGGAAGCCCTCCATAGTAGTGGTGGGGAAGGACTGAACACAGAGCCAGGAGGCTTCTGATTGCCATGGACCAGACTGCAAAGGCCCATGAGTATCTTCTGGAAAAGTCAGAGCACATTTTGGAAACAAAAATTCAGGTCTGAATGATATAAAGAGAGGCCTGGATTCTTATAATGGTACATTTAGTACTGTATTAAGAACAGGAGGTACTTTGAAGTGACAGGTCCCAGGAACTTGTGAGTAAACGCAGGCCTAGCAGAAACCACTGCAGGGCCACAGCCTTTTGTAACACTACAGAAAATGTGGGCATGTCGACTGCCCTAATAACTGGAGTAGGGATGTTCACTCTACTGCCTGTTAATCATTCCCCCTATTCGTGGGGGAGCCATTATACTCTCATGGTTTATTGTTTTAATTTCTCACTAAACAATGGAAGACTTCCCCATCTACCTGCCATGATTCCTGACCCACTCAGCCTGTCCCCCTCTGACAATCACAGTGCCACTCTCACACTTGTCCCTTCCTGCCTGTCAACCTCCTGGCCCCCTATCAGCAGTCTAAGAAGCTGACTGGAGCAGTTAGCCTACAGCAAATCTGATAACCTATTCAAGTATAAGGAGAAGCTCTACTTCAAAGACACCACTTGTACTTCTTGGCTTGTCCTCTCATGAGTTCATGATTCTCTGCTGGCCACACTGCAGGAAAATGGGCGTCTGTGAGGTCTAGACCATGATGTGGTCAGAGGTGGGATACACAGCCAGCCCCAGAATGGGAAGGAAGACGTGTGTGTGTCCTTCACCAAGGTCTCCTGACACAGAAGGCAGCTGAGTCAGAGGGTGCCTTCAATGCCGGAGCTGAGGTGCCCACGGTCCTCTTGTGGCAAATAGGTAACAAGCAGTTCTCTGATGGACAGCAGTGCCTCAGACTACACAGAAGGGCAGAAACTACCCTTTTCCCTCATGGACTTAAGAGCATCTCAGAAGCTAAAGGGAATGTGGCAACCCCTCCACTCTCCTGTGGGGAGGAATTTATGCCTTAATCAAATGCTTGGTCATGAGTAGCCACTAGAGCTCCAGGTTATTCCCATAGCAGTAAAAGCCAAGCATTCTTCCTTCTCTCCTGTGGCACAAAACCCATACCACATGCACCGCATCTCTCTCCTGTTACTTTGTGGGATTTGCCAGAGGCCAAACCCACCACTCCCTCTTGCGCCAGACAGCTCTCCCACTAGCCTTGGGATTTTACTCCTGACAACTGTCCTACTCCTGACAGCTTGTCCCTCTCCTGAATGATCAATGCTCCCACTGTAGGGTTGTTCCCATCCACCTACAAGCTATTCTCCATGAAGGCAATCATCACTCACCAGAATAGATAAAATCCTTTTGAATTAATATGACAGGGGCTTAACACTTCTTTTGGGTCTTGGAGCTTTTTGGAAATATGACTCTCTAGAAAATCCCTCGCACTCACAAAATGGCACCCAAATCATAATAGTTCATGGACCAAAAGCTGACACCCCTAATCTAGGCTATAGGAGGCTTGACTTGGTGCAGGTGGCTCTGACAGGAGGACAGGAGAGGCAGAAAATGTCAGTCCTCTTTTTCTTCCTACGTACTGCTTCCCTGTTTAACAGCCTCCTATTTTGAAGAAATCACTGCTAGAGTGAGCATGACTCAGTCCCCTCCCTTCCCCACCAAAGGCCCATAGCATCTGGGTAACCAGAAGACAAGAGCTCCTAACCCAGGGCCCATCTCCATGCTCTTCCTCTTGGCTGATGATCACTTCCACCAAATTCTGTAACTCTCCAGTGGAATGAGCAATCAAATCTATCCATTTCCCTATTTTTGTTTTTCAGCTCCCTACCCGAAAAGACCAAGCAAGCCCACCACATGCAATCATATCCATTATTCAGAAACAATTCTGACTCTGGAAACCTAAATCATGAACCAGATTAATGCAGACATTAGAGTCAGGAAGCTCCATTCTTTCTAAGAACCCTGTTTTGACTGTCTGTCGGTGTCTGTCTCCTGCCCGACAGCGGGCTCCTGGAAGGCAGAGGCTGGGCTACGACTATTCCTGGGCCCCTCGCCAGGATATAGCACAGGCTTGAGGATGGCAAAGGGCCAGTGTCTGGAGAACGGTTGCAAATGGAAAACAAGAAACTCAGCCCAAGTCCAGATTCCTTTTGCTGCCTGGCTTCACTCTTATCTGCAGAGCTAAAGAAACCCTCCACAAACAACCTGCCCTTTGTCCTTTACCATGGCAGCCAGATCACTTACTAACTTCTGGCAGGGACTGTTTGGGCAATATTTGACCCAAGTGATGACCCGTAGTGCCAAGTTCTGGTAGAACAGTAACGAGCAACTTTGTGACTAGCTTAAACCTTTCCAAAGGTAAAGTGGGGCTTAATGAGAAACATATCCCACTTTGGCAAACACTCTACCTAGAAACTGATAGAAAAGCAAGTGCTGTCTTTGGCCAAGTTGTGCCAAGAGGCTCAAGCACTTATTCCTTCCTTCATTTCACCAATCTCTGAGTAACCACCTTGTAGCAGACATCACATGAAGTACTGTGGACCCAAACACAGCCTGTGACCTTGAGCAGCTGCTTATCAGCAAACAGAGACTCAGCAGTGTTTATAGCAACACTGCATGGTAAGCATCTCTCAGATGTACCTCTGAAGGGAAAGGTTGGCTTGGGCTGGGCTGGCAGGGATGTCTCTCCTGGGGAGATAATGTCCAGTGGGTCTTAAAGGCTTCCAGAATAAGGTCTGTGGACCTGGAAAGGAGTGGCATCTTCACATTTGGGGATGGGGTGGAGCAGAAGGAATGTCAGAGAGAGTGGCAGGAAAGGAGGCAGAAATGTGCTTATACAAGTGTTTTGCAGAGGACTTCAAATATTAGACTAAGAAAATCACATTTCTTTTCCTTGAATAATGGGTGGCCAGGGCCAGAAGAGTAGCCTGGTCAGTTTGTTATTTACAAAGGGAATAAGTACAGAAAGGGCTCTCCATGGTTGGGAGATCTCTGAGAAAGCAGGCATTTGCCCAGGAGAGAGGACAGTAGGCAAGGCTGGTGAGACAGAGGGCTACTGCAGCCCTAGGTACACACATATCTTACTTGGAGAGAAGAGGACTGGGAGGGAGCTCTGTGATACCCTGAGACTGAGGGACAAGATGAAAGCACCCATCAGAAAGTCCGATGTGAAGTTCTAAGGGTGGTAATACTTGGTTTCTAGTATTTGGCATTGAAAAGAAATCACTTGGAAAGATGTCATCATTGAAAAACTAGAGAGGCAGTATCCAATTTTCTTTCCAGGAGGTGCAGAACATATTCCAGGAAGAATGTTGGAACTGTATTAAGAAGCCCTACTCCTGCCAGGGGCCCTGGAGCAGGGTGTGCTACCCAAGAGGTAGATGAGACCAGGCAACCCACAACCTACTGTGCTTTGGCTCTGTGTAGAAGTAAGGAACAGCACCAAACCCAACTCTTCTACTTTTTCCAAGCCCAAGTGGGTAGGAGTGTGAATTAGACATTTTCAGGATAGAACTAAGACCAAAAGGCTTAAGGACTAAGACATGGAACAGGGTGTGGCTCACTGGGAGGAAATCCCACAACCATGGCAGGTATCCTGGATCTGGACCAAGTTTTGGGATAAAACATCAGGTGGGTGGTATCCAGAAATAGACAGGTCAGGCCATTCTGACTCCACAATGTGCTCTTTATACTTGCTGGAGCCAACCCTCTGGAGAATGCCCTCTTTCCTAAACCTTTCTCCTTGGAGCATAAGAAATCATTGCAGAATTACAGCAGCTTCTCCTGGAGGTGAAGGCTAGGGGAACAGGGCTCATCTCTTACCTGAATTATGTTTCCAAACCCTACAGCTGCATGATCAACTCCAAGTCAAAAGCACAACATAGAGTGCACCAGGTTGATGCCCAGCTGGTGGATTCCCCTGTGGGGTGCAATAAAATGTGCATTCTGCTTGCCCTTCCCCAATTCTTTTGCTCTTTGGCTACTCATCACCTTCCACTCTTGCTTGTCTAGTGCTCGAAACCAACTCTTCTTATGAAGCAAGACTGCCTCCCCACTGTGGAATCTCTCACCTCTGGGTTTCCCACCTCATCCCCTTCCTGCTTGTGGGTGTTGGGTAACTGGCCTTACATGGCCTTGAACCATTTCCTTCTAAATGCGCTATCTCCCAAGAGGCCCCATTTCTCAGATTCCTTATGTATAAAAAGTTCTCAGAATTAGGAAACTCAATTTTTTTTAACCCTTGCATCCTGAAATGCCTTCTTACCTACCACTATGGATTTTTTTTTTTCTGATTTCACTTTCCGAAATGGTTTTATATGACAACTGCAACCTCTCTCTCCTAACAGAGGCTGGTGAGTTCTCCTAGAAGGCATGCTCTTACTGTGGAGAAAGCTACCCCAGGACTCTGATACAGAGCTCCTTAGGGGGACAAAGACTCTCTTGAGATGAGACTGAAATCCCCTGTGGCCACCTCCTTGGCACGTTCCCGTCTCTGAAGCCCTGACAACATTGCTCCTTAGCCCTCACTATCACACTGTGAGAATAGAGGTAGCCTCCTTGACTTCTTTGTAAAAGACCACCCTCACCTGAACTTGGCTTAAAAACATCAAAGAGAAGAATAAGAAATAAAGGTTTCAAGCAGAGCTTTGCTTCATGGTGATTTCATTTTCCCCTGTTCCACCAGGCACACAGTGATAGAGGACCCATCTCCTCTGGCTTGGGTGCTCTCCAAGGGCAAGGATGCTATTGTTATTTGAAAAGTTCTCTCAACTGTAATTTGAGGTCATCTTGTGCTATGAAAATATCTTGCTGAGTAAAACTACAAAGCAATACAATGTGTGGCGGAAATCACCCATTTAAAAACTCTGATCTCTCAGTACTGATTATAAATTAGCTATTCATTTCCCTTGGGTATCACCCATCTGTTCACACGCCACAGAACTCTCCTGGGCTAAGCAGTGTGCTACAAGCCACCGGTGCACTGGCCTGCATACAAATGCACACGCGTGCATACAAACACAATCACAGACTCAAGTACACATGTGTACATACATACAAGTGCACTCTCATTCACTCACATACTGTGAGTGGACTTTCTCCTCAGCCTGGTTCAAGCTTTCAAAACTTTCTGAGTTTAACCACCAGGCAAAGGGAGACATGGCACAGGGTCTCTGGGAAATGTTCCATAGGTGGGTTCCACATGCATTTCACAAGTACTTTCCACATTCTTACTCTGCAACCTTTTCCATCAGTTCAGACAAATATTGTTCAAAGAAGTAAAGGTAAGAGGGAAGCAAACCAAAATCTCAAAGGAAATTAAGATGAATTTGGAAAAGGAGGAAATGTTTATGTATGTAGATATGGACAAGTCACAGTAGGTAACATCTGGCCATGCATAAGGTGCCCAATTTGACCCCACTGCAATCACCCAATTAATCACTTACAAATGTCCTTTCTTTTTGGTCCACAAAGATCTGATAAAGATTGCATAGAAATTAATTCAAATTAAAGAAAGGAACAGTCTGGAATTAGAATTTCATGTAACTGTGGAGTATGTGAAACTATTTCTTAATCCATGGTCTTACTTAAATTAATGTTGTTACGATACCCCACTCAAAGAGAACCAATAACTAGAGCACTGGGTTCTGTCATCCTCTAACTCTTAGGGTTTGGGTTTATGCTAAGGAGGAGGCTGAGGGACAAATGCCTCATAGTTCAGCTCAGCTCAGCTGCTGTGTCTAGGTTTTTAGAATGAGGGAGCATCACTGATGAAAGTGGTGGTGGCAGCTGGCACCACATGCCAGGCACTAAATATGGTACTTCTTCACGCGTCACAGCAGTCCATGAAAGAGGACTATTAGCATCCTCATGTTATGGATGCAGAAATTGAGGCACATGGCAGTGAAGAAACTTGCTTAAGCTAGTAAGTGGCAGAGTAGGATCTGAATCCAGTCCAGTTCCAGATCTGTGCTCTTGGACACTGAACTACACTGCCTCTTCTGATATAGCCTTTGTGAGCGTGGGACTGAATTCACTGTCCTCCCAAAGGAAAGGCGATATGCTGAGCCCTCCAGTATGGTTTAATATATTTCACATCCCATTTTTCTTAAAGTAGAGTGCAATTTTTCTAAATGAAACAAAAGATGGGATGACTGTGAGAAGTCTGCAGTTGGTTCTAGAACTTTATATAAAATGTGAAAGGTGTGCTGCAGAGCAAGAATAAACCAAAGTCTTCATGGTAGAAATCTGAAAGTAAAATCAGGATCAAACTCTGATGGTCGTATTTGGACCTTTCCCCAGTGCTCAGAGAATGAAGGTTTTCCTGAGATAGCATGAGACATGCTCTTCTAGAACCAGAAAATCAGGTTTCCAAACAATCTCCCCCCTACAGATTCCCAATTGTCTTCTCTTCTTTTTCTCGGAATTGTTTTCATGAGGTTTTGTTTTTGCAAACTGATTTTCCTGTGTGTATACAGATGCCCTGATCAGATTTAAATGTTCTCAGGTGGTAACCCAGTTAGCAGCCACAACAACTGAGTGCAATTCAGTAACACAAGTCCAACAGGAAACTGGTGCTTTCTCTGAGTGATTGAGCAACTCACCTTAGGCTTAAATGCAATGACTTTCAAAACCATCTCGACAGTGAACACCCCAGTGAAGACCATGTTCAGAATGTCCATGGCATCATTGAACATCTTGGACTGCTCGTAGTGCTGTGGAGGAAGACAGAGGTATGGCTCTCAGAGACTTGGCCATGATCTCACACCCTCGCAGAAGGAGGCTCCCCAGCTCTCTGCAACTGTGTGGGCACTCTCCATGGTCCGGCACCCTCTCCCAACTCGACCAGCATTGCAAGGTCACATGGTAAATTCCCACCAAGCCCAGGGGGTCCGTGACAAGATGAGGATGATTGAATGATGGAGGGAAAAACAAATCCATTCTCTCAGCTCAGGAGAAGGGGAGTTCACCCTTTCTTCTGGCAGGGCTTATACTCAGGCCCTTGATTAAGGCACAATGCAGACACTACCAAAATTTCTATGAACAAAAGCAAAATTTGATTAGGGATAAATCCTATGCCATTTAGGTCTATGTTTAATAAAAGGCAGAATTACTCTGATTTTATACTTTTTGCTATATCAGTTTGTATGGTCTAAAACAAAGGAGTGATCTTAAACAGTAAATGCTCTTTTTCATTCATAAGGAATTTTTAAGGTAAGGAAGCACCAGAAAATTTATCCTCGACTGTCTTTACAACCATTTTCCAGATTGCAAGGAGAGTTGGTTTGACAAGTTCTTAGAGTCCAGGCAAAATCTGGATCTAGACCTTGATCCTTGCTTGCTGTCCTAATGTGATAGCTACTCGTCAACATAATTCCTGAAAACATTCACTGTTGATACCAAATTAAACCCTGACTCAGGCAATTTGAGTGAAATGTATTCCTTGCCCCTGATGTCAGCTAGAAGTAACTATAGTTCAGATCAAACCCAGGATTTCATGAATCATAAAATTCCCCACTGCCATGGTCGAAAGCCCCTTGAAAATAAGTATATGACTTAGGGTTTGCTTTTTGACTTTGGGTGTTCATGGTGTGTAGCACCTGATACAAATAATTCAGCTTAAACCTCATCTCTGAGGTAGGTGTGACAGATTTCCCCATATTACCTATTAAGAAAGCCAGGTTCAGGGAATTAAATAACTTTTCTAAGGTCACCCAGCTGATAAGGAGTAATCAGAATTGAAGTTCCTGCCTGTTCAAGTCCAGAACTGTGGTCCCTTTTTTTTCCCCCGCCTCTGGGTACTGGGGATTTACCTCAGGGGCACTTAACCACTGAGCCACATCCCCAGCTCTATTTTGTATTTTATTTAGAGACAGAGTCTCACTGAGTTGCTTGGCATCTTGCTTTTGCTGAGACTAGCTTTGAATTTGCAATCCTGTCTCAGTCTCCTGAGCCGCTGGGATCACAGGCATGCACTGCCGCACCCTGGAGAACTTTAGTACTTAACCATTCCCTGGCCACAAGAGGCCCATGTAGAATTGAATGCCACATGCGGGATCCATGGGAATGTTACCTACCGCCATGCTGTATGGTCTCAAACAAAGGAGTGATCTTAAACATCTACTGTAAGAGTCAGCCAGAATGGACTCTGGCCATACTATAACCCGGATTCATCAGAACATCAAACCCATCCTCTTGTGAGGGGGCAGCACTCCACCCTGAGAATCTGGGGTACAGGGCTGTGCAGAATGCCCAGACTTGGTCCCCACAGCTGTCTCCATTTTTACCTGCATGGCCAAGCAGAGTGTGTTGAGCATGATGAGGACAAACATCATGTATTCGAAAGGCGAAGAGTTCACCACGTACCAGAACTTGTACTGGTAGGGGTTTTTGGGGATGTATCTCCGCAAGGGACGTGCTTTCAAGGCGTATTCAACACACTGACGCTGCAACGGCAGAAAAGGGCAAAGAAGAGGTTATGAGCACTTTGAGGGAAGGAGCCACAGTGGTCATCTGCTCTGCAAGAGTTCACTCTAGCCTCCTAACTAGAACATAACTAGAAGCCACCACCCTTCCTGCCACAGCACCACCAAGGTCTCAGCCACCAGTGCTACCATTGCAACATAGGAGGTAAGCAGCGCCCCCATTTTGCTTATGAAAAAAACTAATTCCGAACTTTTGCTTTTTATGCTGAGGACGTGCAGTGTGAGCACGAGAGAGCAGACTTGGTCCAGGCCTCATCACTGCCTTTCCCTTCCACTGTTGGGCCAGGTCCTTTGCTGAGCTGTCCTTGGGGACAGGAAGCCAAACACCCACAGGCACAAGCTCATCAAGAGCCAGAGGGGCTGACTTAGTCTCTGAGAATGGCAGCACTGGGCTGCTCAGATGGACCCACATAAGACACCTCTCAGGAGTCAGAATGTGTGACTCATGGTGAGCTGTCCATGCGTCTATCTGGGAGCTCCAGGGATTTAGAATCTCCAGGATATGGTTGGTATTGATGGCTGGATTAAACTAAGTTTGTGTCTACCCAGAGACCTATCCTTCCTACTCGCTCTAGGGACAAAGACTTGTCCACCCTCTGCATCAAGTCCAGAGAGAGCCTCCAGCCCCAGCCTCCAGCCTCACCAGAGGCCCTGGCTCTGCACCTACTCTCCTGCTTTGACTCTGGATGCAGGCAGGCTCCCTGTGTCTGGGACTTGGTACCATTCCAACCTCACATACTGACACCAGGGACCCAATTTAAGCTTGTTTAGAACCTCAGGTGCCCATCCACAGCCCTGGCCCTGCCCTCATCTTTCTTGGAGTGGATGAGTGGGTACAGGGCTAGGCCAGGCTCCCTCAGACTGTACTGTGTGGGATCTGCAAGGACACCCTGACAACCAGAAGGAAAGTTCTCCTACAAACCAAGCCAGAATATCCTCACATTTCTATAATGGGCATAGCTACAGCCTGAAATCCCAGGCTGCTGGATCATTCTTGCTTACTATTTCATCACCAAAGCAGAAATGCTACCAAAAGAGGACTAGGGAAACTCCCAGAACAGGCTCTCATCTCACACTTTTTTTTTTTTTTTTTAGGGTTCAAAGGAACCTGTAAGGGGTGATTCCTTAATGCCCTCAGTTAGAGATGGGAGAGCAGAGAT